TTTTATTTTTATATTTATATGGCGATTTTTAAATTGAAAATGGCATTTCGTTGGTTAATTTTGCAACCAAATAAACGTTAAAATATGGGAACAAACCTATAATTTACTTTTCTGCAAGCCTCTTAAATTTTACAGGTTTCATACAAGCCAGTAAAAAACAACAAAATTAACCTATGAATTGTCATTTACTAAGAAGGTGAAAATAAATATTAATATCAAGATTTTAATAATTTTGATTTTACTTTCAATTCATATCATATTGAACAAAAATACACCACGAGGTAAAAAAACACAGCAGTAAAATACGTCTTAAAAACATCAAAATATATTAACTTAAAATTTTTCAAAATTTATGAATGTTCATTAAAAATTAATATTTTGTACTAATACTTTAAGAAACCTATTTATTTTCCGCTAACAAAAATTTACCGTAGGGAGCAGAACAATTAAATTATAATAAAATTGGAATTTTGATCGCCGAAACTTTTTTAATAGAGCTGATATTTGAGCTCTTAAAATATTTTTTTATAGTAAACTCAAAAAAATAGTCGATTTTTGGGTAACCCTATTCCATAGCTACCTTACATATTTACGAATGTATACGAATTTGAATTTATATTAACAATAAAAACGTATTTTAAAAATATCTCGAAAAACCAGAGCTGATTATGTTAATTTTCTGATTCAGTACTCCTAAATTTTCTTGAAAAAGTTTTTGGTTACTTTGCTACAAACGGACGATTTTATTTTATCGGCCTGTGCTATTAAAGAAGATAATTTTATGAACATCAAAAAAAACAAAAGTGACCAGTTTTTTTTAACTAATTAGTTTTTCCAAAGAAAAATACTAATTAAACGTTTTATATAAAACATATATAATATAACAATATATATTGTTATTTTGTATTTTTTATTATTCATGTGTGATTTTACATAAATAATAAAAAATACAAAAAATATATATATATTGTTACGAGAAAGAAACTTCGATAAAACATTTTCTTCATCGTAATAAAAGATCCCCTCGACTCATCGGCTTTTCATTCGGTTAAAAGATTTATATAACGAGAAGTAACAGTTATTTAAAATGGAATTGGATGAGACTGGACGAAAATTGAATTAAAGGAAAAACCGTTGGTCGGATGCAAAACTAAACTTAAAGAGAAGTTCGGGCCAGTACAAGTTTTCAGAATCTATAAAGGTAGATAGAGATTTCGAACGTTAATTAATTTAATTGGGTTAAGTAAAAGGTCCAAAAGGTGACTTCGATGGTATGCAGTTCATTCACCTATTGTGTTTTTAAATTACATTCCTTAAGGTTTCTTAATTATTACTTGGTTAAATGAATACCGTTCATTAAAATTCCTTCAAATATTAAATGAGCCGTTTGTTCTTTAATAAATTTTTAATTTCACTTCAACACGTTTTCGCTTTTTTTTAACCAATAAACCGTCTAATGAGTTCTTTAACTCCTCATTTAGGTTATTTGAATTCCGAGTGAATATTTTTCAATTATATTTATTTTGTGGAAAATTTAAATACAAACAGTTTTTCCTAACTATTATGTAATTTGAAGATTTAAAATTAATTACCAAATTATCATTTTGCAAACATTATAATGTAATAACTATTTATACAAACAATACTACAGGGTGAGTTTAAAGTTAACGATCTTTTAACATTTCTTTTCCATTTACGTTATTATTTAATAACGAAGATACACAGTTAGCGCGTCAGATAAAGTGTTTGTTATTAAACACATAACGTTGACCATCTTCAATTAATGCCACAATACGAGAAATATCCGTCACAGATAATTTATTTGACCTTTGACAACTTTAAACTGTCATATTTCAAAATAACCCAACCCAACGTATGTCGACTTTACACTTACTTCTTTTTACATGCAAAGAATTTACACAGTAAACACACATAAGTAAATTAAACGTTTTTTTAACCCGTAACATCATTTTTTTTACATATATTTTTATCGTACAATCAACTTTAAAATGTCGCAGATTATAACAATACTAATAAATAAACGTTTAATTTTGGCGTTAAGAAAACGATCATTACACGTTTCGAAATGTTACATTTAAAACGTTTTTATACGTCTATTAGTTACTTAAATTAAACATTGTTTTTGCCTCATTTATAAATAACGTTTATCTATAAGTTATATTTAAATTCATAATAATGTCCTTTCTAACGTTAGTTCTATAATAAATAAAACTCCACAAATACTTGTTTTTACAACGTATTTATTAAACGTTCGTTTACCGTTAACTGCAACATGAATACAGGGTGTTTAAAGGTTTAAGACAATGATTTTTTTAAATGAAGGAAAGGTTTTGGAGGTATCTCCAGTCGTCTTCGGGTGAATAATTTTTATCGTTCGCTGGAAAATTTAGCTGCTTCTAAAACACAAAAAAGAAATTTGTTAAACGATGAAAACCCTATAAGTTATTAAACTCATATTCAAAAATTTTTATTGTAGAATATCGCTGGGCTGAAATTTGATCAAAAAATCCGGTATGTTTAACGCACCCGGTATAATAAGAGTGTTCTCGAAATACTAATTTACAATACGTACACCATCTTAACGTCTTGTTAAATAGGTCTATAACCATAGCAAATGTATCTTATCGAGCCGACTTAAGTGTGATTTTACTAGAGATTTCTCTGGTAAAATCACGCCTAATTCCAATTTACGGTAAAAATACATGAGTAATAGTATAGAAAACGTCTTTAAAATTAACATACTATCATATTATTCTAGGACGCTGCACAAATTATAATAAGAACAAAATCACACCCCGAAAAATTAGGAAATAAAACAATGAATCTGCGTGATAATAACAGTGGGTATATTTTAAAACAATTACATTAAAGTACTTACCAAAAGCAGGACGAATCTTACGAGCACAAAACACGCAAAAAATGCACCTTCTGATAGCAAAATCAAATTGAAAACTGACCTAGCGACCAGCTATGGCATGGCAGTCTGCCATTGGCAGGCCCAATCACATGATCTGTATTCGGCCAATCAGATTGCTTTCTTCAGTTATGCGTTTTATATGGGTATGTATAAACGTATTAAGTACGTTTGTTTAGACGTGTTAAGTACGTTTAAGTATCTTTGTTTAAACGTAATAAGTACGTTATTTTTATCTATTACAGTAACTGTCTAAAGAGTTTAAAGAATGTTAATAAAATAATGCACTTTTTAAAGCAACATTTGTGGATGAGTATAGTGTTTTGCCTAAAGCTTACTGATGTATGACCACTGACCATTTTATTAAATATTAAACGTTATAAATTATTTTTAAACAAGTTATCCCATTTTAGAGAAAAACGTTGTAGATAAAAGTTTATTTGTATTTGACAAAAACCGTTTTATTAACGTTATAAAAAAATACTTTTAAAAAAGAGAGAAAGTTAAATTATTCATTAACCATTCATTTATAATTTATTTTTTAACGAACAAAATTCTTAGATTTTATACCTACAGATTTTAAATAAGAAGTCATATTGTCTACATGTGTAAACTAAGTAAAAATTTCAAAAAATAAATATATAAAAAGTAATTCACCAAAGTGTTCGATGGAGCGTGTTGAATATAACATTGTATAAATGTTAAAAGAAAGAGCTGCCTGGACAGTTCATAAAATAATTACTTTAAACCTTATTTTCTCATTAAAACTGGATTTTTACGTTATTTAAACATTTAAATATATGGTTGACTTAACACCTTAATACAACGTTATTGTAACGTAAAAGTTAGCTACTATTAAAAAGCATATTTAAATTAACGTTGTTTTAACGTTTTAATTAAACATTTTAATATATGGTTAACTGAATACCTTAATACAACGTTATTGTAAAATAAAATTGTGGATTAAAACGTTATTTAAACATTTAAATATATGGTTGACTGAACACCTTAATACAACGTTATTGTAACGTAAAAGTTAGCCACTATTAAAAAGCATATTTAAATTAACGTTTTTTTAACGTTTAAATTAAACATTTAAATATATGGTTGACTGAACACCTTAATACAACGTTATTGTAAAGGAAAAGTTAGGCACTATTAAAAAGCATATATAAATCAACGTTGTTTTAACGTTTAAATTAATTTCTGTAAATTTATACCAAAATCAAACCGTTGCGTTTTCTACGTAAAACGTTTTATTAACCATTCACACGTTTTAAATACGTTTAAAAAACGTGTATGTGTTTACTGGGTAACAGAGATAATAACGCCAATAAAAACGAAAATATTCAGAAAAGATTGTTGCTGATTCATGGGGTCATACATTAAAAAAAAAATCTTCTTACTTTTGAACCCTTTATGGCTTAAATTAAAATCTGAATAAAATTATATATTAAAGCATCGTTACAAAAGAGTCACCTACAGTTAAAAAAAATCATTAAAATCAGATAAGCGGTTCCCGAGGAAATTATACGAAAACTTATCCGAGAAGTTATAAAATTATATATTAAAGCATCGTTACAAAAGAGTCACCTACAGTTAAAAAAAATCATTAAAATCAGATAAGCGGTTCCCGAGGAAATTATACAAACACTTATCCAAGAAGTTGGCTTTAACACAGTTTTCTTTTTTAAATAACAGAGATATTAACTTAAAGAAAAAAGTATGATTTTAATTAACATTCTGATGCACACCACAGGGTGTTACAATTTTCAGGAAAAAACCTCATCTTACTTTAACACCCGGTATATGCCAAAATGAAACCTAAAATAAAAATGTCTACCATGGCATCGTTAGTGTAGAGTCAACCTACATATTTTTAATAAAAAAGAAATCATTAAAATCAGATTAAAATATAATTAAAAAAATCCACTTAAATTTTAATCTTACTTAATTTTTTATACAATTCATTGAACATTGGGCTCTAAGCATAAATTTATTAGTAGACCACATAATTTCTGTAATCTTAGTTGTATAGCCATAGCCTTTGGTATACTTTTTTTTTTCATATCACTACTTTCTTATCTCTGTCCTCATTCTGTTCGTGATCATCATCACAACTGTAATCTTCATCATCAGTTTGTTCATCTTCAAATAACTTCAGCAGCCTTGCATACTCTTGTTTGTAGTTCAGATCTGCAAAAAAATTAAACTACACCAAAAACGCATGTTTCCATGACACTATGTGATATTTTAAATACACATTGCCAAGTTGTGACCTTATGGCGTTTTTGTCACGGGCTGAAGCAGCAGGTTTTTAGTCACGGGCGGAAGTTAGTTTTAATTAAGTTGACAGTAGTCAAATGTCATACAATCGTTAAAACAAACTGCATTTCTTATAAAATAATACTAAATTTTAGTTTGTTAGTTTATAATATCAATACAAAAATACAAAAGTATTAAATAGTCTCTCAACACCAATATTTAAAAAGTTTATATGAACATTTTAATTTCGCCGGCAGTAAACTAGGCTTAACTTAATTTCTGGTGAAGACTCCACTGTGGAGTGCCAATAAAACATTTTCTTTACTTTCACTGTAAAAAAACTGCTTCTATATCGGATTAAAACTGGGGATACATTTCAATTTACTCATAAAAATTTGAAATTTTCACCGGCGCGCCGGTAATAGAGATTCCCCCATTATTTTGTAGATGTCGCTCTGTGCAATTATTAAATTTAAATTATTTTTGATAATAAATAGTATTTGTCGTAAAAAAATTATAGTATGCAACTCATTTATAAACATTTCTAGACACTCATTTAATTAAGCACTTGCTCGCAAGCTCGCTCGTATCTAAATTAAATTCGTGACTAAAATGAAGTTCATACATAATACACTATTATGGGTTGTAAATAAACTGTACTTATAAATGCAAGAAAATGTAATTTCCTCTAAAATTATGTTCTTAAGTGTAGTAACAAAATTTCCTAAACTTTAGAAGGTTTTTGTTTATTATGATGACGTAATTAATTTCCTCTTTCAATTCTTTTTAAACCACTTGCGCAACAAACAAGCAGCCAAAGTCCTTTTCCGTCCAAAGAGAGAGAGGGTTATTGGTGAAGATCAGAGCTTTTATGCAACGGCGGTCGTTGTTGCTAAAATGTTCGGATTAATCGAATTTTATACTTTGTTAAAAGGGAGCGTGGATGGTCAGCGGTTTTCCGGGCCGCTTTTCTATTTAAAGGAAAATCAAATCAACTTGGCCACAGAATGTTTTCTACTGATGAGAAAAGTAATCGTTCGCGGATTTATAGCCGACCCGTGCCTAAATGGAGGGATATTTTATAGGAATGCATGCGAATGTAAAGCATTAGGCTTTTCAAAAAACATACCATCTCTTTTTACGATACATATGTATACAAGAAACTTTTATCTAAATTTCTTTTAGATTATCTTTTTTTTTATTAAAATTCTTTAATAATTTACAATGCATAAAGTAATGGTATTCGGGAGAAATCCTTTTATTGCCTCATATTGTAGAGGTGTTAAACTATCACTTCTTGAAAAGACCCGTTTAAAATATTCTGAAACTAAAAGTTCATTTAAAAAAATGATTTTTGAAAGAAGCGTACATCACTACTCTCTAAAAATGAATTAGTGAAAAGTGACTAATTTTATAGTTATTTGTGGCTGCTTTTTCACTTGTACCATGGTTAACCATGGATTACCATGGTTAATAGGGTGGGCCAAAAAAAACTTTTAATTTTTTTTTCTTTAGTTACCATGAAAATATCGTCCAAGATGACGAAAAAAAAATTCTGATAAAGTTTGAGCTCTTAATATTAATATTAAGAGGTGGCTCATCGCGTTTTTTTATTTTCCATTTAAATAACGCGGGAAAATTTTTTTGTTTGTAATTTTATTGCGTTTTAACGAATCAGTAAGTTGTAGAAATCAATACACATTCTGGTAGGGAATTGAACGATCTACAAAAATCTGATATGATTTTTTGCTTAGTCAACTCGTTTAAAAGTTATTTGAGGTTAAAGTTCAACCTCAAAAAGTAAATGAAGACTTTTATAGTTTTTCATACTCTATTACGAAATATTGGCTCAAAAATATGAAAAATCATATAGTGTCCTTCGGTAAAACAATATAATTTTTACGAAATATCAATAATCGTGAAAAAACGTTTTTTTCTATACTTGATTTTTTTAAAAAATCGATTTTTTTTACATAAGTAATGACAAAAAAAATTAATCATTTTCTCAAAAAATAATAAATATTCTATTAACACTTGACTATTAGGTAATAAAAGCCATGTTTCAATAATTTATCAATTAAAATAAACATTTTTATTTTAATTGAGAAATTATTGAAAAATGACTTTTATTACTCTACATTACCTAATAGTCAAGTGTAAATAGAATATTTATTATTTTTTAATGATTATTTCCCTCATTATAATATGAACCAATCAAAATTTTCGAATAAATTTCGTTTAAATAAGCGATTAAATCACTTATATACTATTTAACAGCGATTAAATTTTAGCCTCCATATTGGATTTTTGTTTACGATTTTATGGTGTTATTTACAAGTTTTAACAAACATTTTTTAAAAAACAATAAAAAATAATAATTTAACTTAAGTTATCTAAAAATAACTATTTAACTTAAGTTATCTAGTTTACGAAATATCAATTATTACTTCTGTGGGTAAAAGGCATAAGGGGATAAGTCAAAAAAAGCAATTTTTAAATAGAGCCTTTAACGTTTTCGCATTAATTCAGGAAATATATTTATGTTTAGCGGGTATACGCTTTTGTTAGCATATGACATGGGCTAACAAAAGGGTATACCCGCTAACCATAAATATGTTTCCTGAATTAATGCGAATAGGTTTAAGGATCTACTGAAAAATTGCATTTTTTTACTTATCCCCTTATGCCTTTTATCCACAGACTTATTACATACCTTAAATTAATGGAAATAATCTAGACGTATATCACTTAACCTATAAATTTAATCTGTCAAACTATGCTCAGTAGGTTTTTTATTTGATTTTTTTTTTTGGAAAATAGTTTCATGCAAAATAATTAAAAATAAAACCCCTCGACCGCTACGCGGTCTCGTGATTTATTTAAATTATTTTGCATTCAACATTTTCCAAGAAAAACCAAACAAAAAACTACTGAGCCTAGTTTAACCGATTAAATTCATAGTTCTCGTGATATAATATATGATTAATTTTTCTGCCTTAGGTAAAGAAAAAATTTCGAATTAAAAAAAATTAAATATAGGAAAAAAACGTTTTTTTCACGGTTATTGATATTTCGTAAAAATTGTATTGTTTTACTGATAAACTTCACGAAAAATATGATATTTCATGTTTTTGAGACAATATTTCGTGATAGAGTATGAAAAACTATAAAAGTCATCATTTACTATTTGAAGTTGAACTTTAACCTCAAATAACTTTTAAAAGAGTCGACTATGCAAAAAATCATATGAGATCTTTTTTGTAGATCGTTCAATTCCCTACAAGAATATGTATTGATTTCTACAACTCACTGATTCGTTAAAACGCAATAAAATTCCAAACAAAAAAATGTATTTTTCCCGTGTTATTTAAATGGAAAATAAAAAATCGCAATGAGCCACCTCTTAATATTGATATTAAGAGCTGAAATTTTATCAGAATTTTTTTTTCGTCATTTTGGACGATATTTTCATGGTAGCTAAAGAAAAGAAAATTAAAAGTTTTTTTTGGCCCACCCTAATGGTTAACCATGGAATACCATGGCTAACCCTGGAATACCATGGTATTCCAAAACTTAACAGCCAATTCCTATGTAAAATTGTCCCCTGAATCCGAAATTATTAAATTGGAGCAGTTTTTGAGATATAGTCAATCCATACTAAATGGAAAATTTACTATATCTCAAAAACTATTCTTCTTTTTTTAACTTTTGACGGTATTTCCGGATTCAGGGAACAATTTTACATAAGAATTGGTTGTTAAATTTGTGATACCATGGTTAACCATGGTACAAGTGAAAAAGCAGCCACTAATAACTATTAACCCTTGATTAGTCGCACCCGGTGTGTGAGATCGACGCTTTAAATTTTTTATCTACGCCAGTGAGATAAGAACTTCTTATCCCACTCATTTTGAGTGAGATAAGAAGTTCATTAACGCACGCGTTTTTCTCTGTTTTTAACCAATCAAATAAAAAAGTCAAAATGTCAAAATAACCCTAAATTAACTCTTAGACAAAAATAATTACCGTTTATTTTTTCATTTAGAGGCGTAGATAAAAATTTGTACAATATACGTGTGATAACGCTTTATTAACGTGCTACGCACTCGTTGGGCAAATTTAGCATGCGTACGTTAATAAAGCTCTTATCCCACTTATATCGTAAAAAACTATAACGTACTTCTTTAGCGCATCGACTTTACGCTATCTCCTCCTACCTAGGAGGCTCCTAGGTACCTTCCTACATTAGCCTTTCGAACTTAAGTCTGAAAGGTTGGCGCATGGGTGTGATTTAGCGGTTTCCAGAATTTATTTCGGTGCGAGAGACCGATACGAGTATTAAGGTTTTAAAAATTTAACTATGTATTCCTCCATAGCCGACCAACAACTACTTTAAAAACTAATGGAAGACACAGATTCTGAAAATGAAAGTAATTTTAATGACGATGAAGACAACGACGAAGAAGATTTCGTAAAGGAAAGGCATGAAAATAGCGAGTCGGAACAAAATATTTCTTCTGATGAATTATACTAATTTTTTGTTCTTAAATTGATATTTTGTAATGTTTGTTTATTAAAAACATTACTTTTAAGCATATGAACTTAGTGTATTTCTTAAAAATTTAAATATACACACAAGATATTTAATAAACGTAATTTTTATCTTTCGGTCTCAGACACCGAAGCGACTAATGGCGTTTCAGAAAACAGTGCGACTAATGAAGGGTTAAATTAGTAATTTTTGACTAATTAATTTTTAGAGAGTAGATTATGTCGAAATAACTCGTTTATAACTTTATTCCCTCCGGTTCAAATTATTTGATCCCAAGGTATCTTATTTTGTTGTTGACGAGAGCGTCATATTCGCAGTACCTACACTCTGTCTCATTGTTGTTCGATTTTG